AAGATAAAGTCAAAGAAAGGTCAGTTTATTGTTAAAGACTTAACAGCTAAAACAACGATTGGAGAGTTAAAATTAAAAGTTTCGCAATTGACTGAAGTAAAAGAATCACTACTGCATATACTAGCTGGTTTTCCACCACGTCCATTAGATCTAACGCAAAATGCGAGTTGTATATCAGCGGTAGGTATTAGTAGCGGCGAAACTCTGATTGTTGAAGAAAGACCAGCAACGGCAGCCGTCTACTCTTTAGAGGATGACGAAGCACTTGCTCGTAGATTGCAAGCGGAAGAGGAGGAAGAACAACTGCGACAAGTTGTAGCGGAAGCCACTGCCACGGAAGGTGCAAATGGTCCTCAATTACCGATCGAATTGCCTAGTGGCTCGAGCGGAAATTTCAATGGCATTTTACTCAAGAAGGTTGTACCAGCAGATAATTCATGCCTTTTTACTAGCATACGTTTTGTCCTGAATGGAAAAATTGACAACGAGGGTAGTGAAATGATGCGGCATATTATTGCCCAGGAGGTAGCCGCCGATCCTCAGGAATACAGCGACGCTGTGTTGGGGAAATCAAATGCCGAATACTGCGCCTGGATACAGAGACCAGATTCGTGGGGCGGTGCTATTGAAGTGTCAATTCTCTCAAATTACTACGGCATTGAAATTGATGTTGTTGATATTCAAAATGCGATTATAAATCGCTTCGGTGAAGATAAAAACTACGGTTTACGGGTATTCTTACTATTTGATGGCATACACTATGATCCATTGTATATGGAGACAGTTGGCGTAAGTAATAAGTTAGTAAACACCGAAATTACCATATCATAAAATTTTAATTCGTTAGGGGGGGGCACCAGGTACTATATTTCCAATTGAAGAAATGAATGTGTATCACCAAGCGGAACAGCTAGCCAATGAAGCGAAATCATCAAGACAATTTACCAATGTTGACAAGTTTTCGCTAAGATGTCTCCAGTGTGAAGTTATGTTGGTCGGTCAAGTGCAGGCGCAGCAGCATGCAAAATCAACTGGGCATACCAACTTTGGTGAAATTTAATACGCAGTCATTTTCAGTTCACTCTATTTCTTCGCTTTCTTTTTGTTTGCCTACTATGTACTCACTTCTTAAGCATATATAACATCAATTATCAAACAGCGCATAAGCAAACGAAGATACTTGCAATATCTTTTCCTAACGCTCTCAACTCTCGTCAAAACTGTTAGAAATATGCATAAATTTCAGCGCACTTCTCATATGAAAGAATAGTTCATTAATAATTCTATATAATTTGTAAAATAAGTTGAAACGAAATATGTATTTAAATATCCTGAACTAAATGTAAAGAAATGTTCTACAATAGTCTAGCCAACCACATAAAATATTGGAACCTGCTTAATACCAAAATTTTAAACATTTGCAAAAGTAGTTCGAAATCCAAATCGGTAAGTAATGACTACATATCGCACACCATCTTCAAAAGAGTCACAACTCAAAATTTGGTATTTTTGAAATTATGAGCTAAAAATGTACAGAGCTTTTATTTACCTTTCAGCAAAAGCTGGAGCAAAATTGTGTTATAATTTGTTAAAAACCTAAGGTAAAGTCGTCCTTGCCCATATGATTAGCATGTGCTACGAAATAGTTTTTCACATTTTCTGACGAACGTTTTATTTTGAGTTGCGACTCTTTTGAAGACGGCGTGCGATATGTACGAGGACTTGAAAACGAGAAAAGCCTATTAGGCTTTCAAAAAATAAAGATATAGCCAAAACAGGGCCTGTTCGAGGCACGTAATAAAAATCGGCATTACTGCCGTACTGATGAAAAATGGCAACATTGTTGCAGCTACCCAACTGATAAAACATTGCTAGAAATTCACACAGAACGCTATACTTTAATAATTCGCGCAACACTGCAGTTGTGATTGCAACTCGAACGTTCATCATTTATGTTTTATAGATAGGTTACTCTGGGTTTTAAGACACAATGGCTGCGTTTCTTTATACATTCCGTATAATCCCTTTTCACAGCCGGAATAAACAATGCGTTTGAAATATGCGTTAACATATCATCAGGAACGTTCTAAAGAAAAGTAAACGAAAAAGTTTATTCCAAACGTTCAGAATGAATAAAGAAATACAGCCAAAATATAGGATTCAGCAAAAACAAATTTATCCGGTTAGAAAGTCTTTGGTCTGTTGAAACATGTATACAGGAAAGTCACTACGCAGATGGAGCCCATGGGGGTGTCATTGGTGAGGGATTTTGAAGATAGGACATGACCACTGCACTCACTGATAACATAAACGATGACAGCACCTGTGGTAAAACGATTAATGCTGTGCAATAAAATACAGCTTGTTTTCTTTTACCTGCTTTGCGTCATCACTCACTCGCGAACTTGCAAAGCTAATGCATGAGCAATAGAGCGCAAACCATGCGCACCATTTCAGTTTCATCATTAGGCCACACATTGAAAAAATCATTCCTACAATTAAAATACATTATTAAAAGCGTTGTCTGAATGAATTGCATTGCACACTACTCACCCAAAATGTTCATATAATCCGGCATAAGATCCTCGCTGGAACTGGCAGCCTGGCCTTGATTCTGTGGGGGTTTATACCTGTTAACCTTTTCCTTGCGTCGTGGATCTACTGAAGTGCTCATGTTTATATGTTAATATTGCTTCGGTGAATAAGTCTAAGTAGGTTAATAAATCCAGTAACATTAGTAATGGCAAAGATTAATCATTTGATTGCATTTTTCGATTATTAACTCGGAATGCTGGGTACAGCTGGAAAAATATCGATGGCAAAAGTGTTGGTTTGCCTTTTATTAGCTGTGTTTCTTTCGCAAAACGCTTGCACGCAAATGCAGCAACAACGTTACGATCCTGACAGGTTTTGTTCATTTGTGAGCCGCTCTGTTTGTTTTGTTTCGCTGATAACTTGGGAGTTAGTCTGTTCCTTTGAACTCCGGACTAAATCCTGTAACTTCTGACTAGGAACAGTAGCTCATTTATTCTCTCAAACGTGTTCCCACTTACAGGTTTTATGCCAATAGGAACGACTTCCTGTAAGATCTGACTAAATCCTGTAAACCGGACTGCTATTGGAATACTCTGGGTTGGTAGCACGGACAATTGAACGTATACCTAAACATTGAGGTTATTC